TTGTGACCGTTCCTGATGGTACGTAAAGCTTAATGGAGGCCGGCTGCTAGTTAGTGCTAAGTGGTAGCTGTGTTGTTCTAACCAATGACTGAATTGCTTGTTTACTAACATGACTAATTATTGTGTGCTTTCACGAATTGCTTTTAACTATATTTGGCTGTGTTTTTAACAGGACTAATTATTGTGTGCTTTCATAAATTGCTTTTAACTATATGTGGCTGTGTTTTTAACATGACTAATTATTGTGTACTTTCACGAATTGCTCTTAACTATACTTTGCTGTTTTTTTTAAATTGAAAGCTTGTGTGTAGCTTAATGTTTAATGTCAGTTTGATTACTAATATCAATCTCAAATAATATACATTTTTCCCATTAGTTTATCATTAACTTCATCATCTTTATAACTATGTTGGCGGTGATAATAAGGATTGTAATAATCGCTGTAAATATGATATGATAATATTGATTATGGTGATATTAATCATGGTCATATTCATAATGATTATGATAATGACAATGATAGTAATAATAATGATGATGATAATAATTAATGATGATAATAATAATGATACTAATGATAATATTATTAATGATAATGATAATGATTATTATTATTATTATTAATAGTGCTACTAATGATAATGATAATAATAATAATGATAATAATAATAATAATATATAATAATAATAACAATGATGATATTAATAATAACAATAGCAACCATAATCATAAATATATTAATACCAATTACAATAATAACAATAATGATGATAATAACAATAATGATAACTGGTAATAATAATGATAATAATAATAGTAGTAATGATAATAATGGTAATGATAATAATGATAATAATAATAATAATAGTTATGATAATGATGATAATAACAATAGTCATGATAGTGGTAATAAGGATAATAATAACAATGACGATAATTATGATGATCATTATAACAAAACAAGAATATGTAAGAACAAGCAATATAGACAATTTTAATATACAATATCATAATGATCATCATTATTATAGTGATTGTGATAATGATAACCAAAATGATAGAAATAAAATTATAATAACAATAATTATAATACAATAATGGGAATGATAATACTAATACTAATACTAATAGCAATACTAACACTTCTAACAATCTCTGTAACAATGGTGATAACAGAAATACAATCATCATTGCTAACACTATTACTATTATCTTTAATATTCATAATCATTCCGCAATTCCCTTTTAAAAGACTCAGTCGTTCTGAAAATCGCTCTGGTCATTATTCTATTAATTACAAGAAAAATAATTAAAAACACGTGAGATCAACATATTAAATCCTATACAATCCCCAGGTGATTTTTCGTTTTTAGACCATTTCGAAAACTGTCGTAATCTTTTTTTCTTTCTTTCAAAACTGCTTACGTCAAATTTGCACCATTTCGAAAACTGTCGTAATTTTCTTTCTTTCAAAACTACTTGCGTCAAATTTGCCGTTTCCTCTTTGCCTATGTCTCTTGGGTCTTCCCGCGATAGGCCTATATCTAAATCTACTAAAGTCAGACGGAAGGCATAGGCTGAGTGGCAGGGGAAGCCCAAGGGGTTTAAAGTTTGTGTATTGAGAAACTTCCTGAAGTTAAGCTGGCCGTTGTAGATAAGCAGTTGGTGATGAAATAAACAAAGTGATTTCAAAGCGATTTTCTTTGTATTGTACGGTATGTCGCGGAGTAATTTTGTATTTGTTTTACGTAAAGTATTTTTTATTTGTATTTCCAAGAGTATTTGTGTATTTGTTTTTCCAAGAGCATTTTTTATTTGTTCGTTTCCGTATTTTGTATTTTGTTTTATTACTTTTTTCTTACAGATCTTGAAATTTATTTGAGCACGAGGTTCTTTCCTCTAACATCAACAACAACTACATAAAAAAATGTCATTAATCCTTCTTTTGTTGTTCTTTTCTTGAACTAATGAACTTTAACAACTAAAATACAAGATTAGCGCAGAATGTTTAACATAAGTGTCTTCTTGGATACAATATATTCTAGTTAACGACAGGATTTAGCAAGAGTATTTCGCGGAATCTCGCATTTCGAGTCATGTCATCTTTCTCTTTTTCCCCTAAAATTCAAACCATATTTTTTCCCCCTCGAAAGCAGACTAAAGCAATAGCAGTGGATTAATTACATATCCTTAATATCTATAAGACTTTATATTGTATCCGAAATAAGGATAATCATCCCTCATTCAATTTTGAAATCAAAATTCAACGAAAAGCGAATGCCAAGAATTCCAGCTGATCCCGAGTACAAGCGTTCGCACAGCTGACAGCGAGCCCGACAGACAGCGGACAGAGGGATGGCCGCGTTCACTCTTGGCAAGGTCACAGCGCTGCATTCTTCCAGGTGTAGCGGGGTACTGGCAGGGGGTAGGGGGGGGGCTGCTGCTCACTGCCAAAGGGGGCTGGAGGGGAGGGGGAGGGGGAGAGGGGAGAGACAAACACATGTATACAAACGTGCATCAACTTTTGTTCTCGTACTTACGTTTATTATGATAGGTAAATAGGAGAAGAAGGTTTTATTCAAACACTCACGTGGACGAGTGAATGTAAACAAACGCAGACATTTCATGGTAGCAACATGAGTAAATAAACAAACGCACAAATCGACAGGTGGCTACCGAAGAAGCATAAAGTAACGTACAAGAAGTAGCAGTGGACACAGGAAAACAGAGATTAGTTAAAACAACACTCCTTCTATAACGAAACTTCTAGTCCTAAAAAATGGCTTATTTTTACCAACTGGAACACTTATATAATAAAAAAGATACATGAAAATAATTGGCGATATCTAATGTACTAATCCTACGGTCACCACAGGTTATAGAATTGAAAGAACAAAGAAGAGAAGATTAGACATAGGAACGGGGAATAATTATCTTGTTTATGGCATCCGAGAGAGACACGAAGGCCCGCGAAACTGAACCCTAAGGCCATAGTATCCTGTATTAGTAATCAGTACAACTTATGAGCTCCTGTTGGTTTGCTCACCGAAGACAACAACTATTTAGCAAAACTCTATCATGAATATTAGCTTTAAAACACTGCTATTGCTTTCATTCCTCCATTCTCATTAATAAGTAAATTCCCATACATTTACTCTTCTTAAAGAAACCTTTTTCACACGTATAGAAACGGAATCTAATCCTATTCTTCGCCCTCCCTATAGAATTCTTATCGATAAAGAACTTCAACCTCATGACGAAGGAAAATGGGATCCCACACCACACCAACGAGTACGAGCTGATGGAGCGAGAGAAGCCCCGACTGGTGGTGAGGAGAGGCCAGGCTTTCTCCATCACGCTCAACACCAACAAGCCAATGGACAGCGAGAAGGACAAGCTGTCTCTCGTCTTCACCGTCGCTGGTAAGTGAGGGAGGAGGAGGGAGGGCAGGAGGGAGGGGGAGGAGGGAGGAAGGGCGAGGGAGGGGAGGGAGGGCAGGAGGAGGGAGGGAGGAGGGAGGGAGAGGGAGGAGGGCAGGGAGAGGGAGGGAGGAGGAGGAGGAGGGAGGGAGGGAGGGCAGGAGGGAGGAGGGAGGGAGGAGGGAGTGGCGAGGGGAGGAGGAGGCTGAGGTGGAGAGGGAGAGGAAGGAGGCTGTGCGCTGACAGCTGGAGATGTAATTATTTTGCTCAAGTGTAATTATGTATATTTTTTTATTACTAAATTTCAGATTTGATTTCTTCACCTTTAAGAATGCCTGTTTTATTTCAGTTAGAAGGAACTCCACGGTCCCAACGTTTCCGAATACAATGAGAATAAAAACGAGAGATAAACATTTTTTTTCAATGACATACACCATAAAACTTCCCAAAATAAGATCATCCCATCCAACAAAACCCTTTTTTTCAATGACACACACCACAAAACTTCCCAAAATAAGACCGTCCCATCCAACAAAACCTTCCAGACTCAAAGAGCCCCAGTTTCGGAAGTGGCACCCTGGTCGGCGTTGGCATTGGCACCGAGAGCGACAGCGGGTGGAGCGCCCAGATCAAAGAGACGACAGACACTTCCATCGTTCTGTCGGTGAGGCGATAAAATGCACTTAAGGGGTTGTTAAAATAGACGCAGATGACATTCAGTGGTAGTTCACCCATAAATGGCCTTTGTAAGGTGCAGTTCCTAGGTGAAGGTTGTTCGAGAAGAATGGGTGTTTTACGTTCAATAAAACACTTTGAAATGTATACAGCGGTTGAGGTAAATAGACAAGTAAGAGTTAAATGCAGTAAGATAATATAGCCTTTCTCAACAACATTCAGAACATAATGAATAGTGATAAACATTCGGTATCGAGTTTAAGAGTCTTATGATGACTGACAGGTGATTCGGGTAGACCTCAAGTAGGCACAAGTGGCCGAAGAAAGCATATTGAGAGACGAACCAAAATATAATCAGATTTAGAGTAGTTGTTAGTGAAGAAAATAAACAAGGACTTGCTATAAGCCTTCAAGAAAGCGCGTATGTCTATTACACACTGATATATATTCACACATACACACAAACACACACACACACACACTGTATCTGTGTGTGTGCGTGTGTGTGTGTACACACATATATACGTATATATATATATATATATATATATATATATATATATATATATATATATATATATATATATATATATATATATATATATATATATACACACACATATATATGTGTGTGTGTGTGTGTTTATACACACTTATATACGTATATATATATATATTATATATATATATATATATATATATATACATATATATATATATATATATATATATATATATGTATGTATGTATGTATGTATGTACGTATGTATACGTATCTATATATAGGCATATATATGTATATATGTGTGTATATATATATATATATATATATATATATATATATATATATATTATATATATATATATATGTATATATATATATATATACATATATATATATATATATATATATATATATATTATATATATATATATATATATGCAGTATATAGGTATATATAATATATACATATATATATATATATATATATATATATATATATATATATGTATATATATACATATACATACACATATATGTATGAGTGTGTGCACACATACACACACGCACACAGATGTATATAGATAAATAGATTGACAGATAGATATAGATATATTTAGAAATAGATAGATATAGATATAGATGAATAAATAAAGATAAAGATGAATAGAAATATAGATAAATAAACAGATCGATAGCCAGCCAGACAGACATATAGACAGATAAATGAACAAACAAACACACAAACTAACTGACCACACATGATTTCCTCCCCATAAGTCCTCTCTACCTCATGTTGCAACTCCCTGCAGATCACGACGTCTTGCAAGGCCATCGTGGGCGAGTGGAAGATGGAAGTGGACGTGCAATCGGGCGACAAGACCCACACGTACCCTTGCGAGTCCACTTTCTTCCTCCTCTTCAATCCTTGGTGCCAAGGTGAGTCTTTTTTTTTCATTTTTCCCTTTCCTTGGTGAGTGTTTTTGTCGTTATTTATATTAGTTTTAGAGTGAGTTTTTTTTTTTTTTTTTTTTTTTTACTTTTTTCTTTCGTTACTTGGTGAGTTTTTTTTGTCATTATTTACATTAGTTTTAGGGTGAGGGATTTTTTTTCCTTTCCTTGTTGTTGTTTTTTTTTTGTCATTATTAACATCAGTTTTAAGGTGAAGAATTGTTTTTGTATCTTTCCTTGCTAAGTGGTTTTATAGTTATTATTATTATTTTCATTAGTTTCAAAATTATTTTTTAGGGTATATGAGGTAGGTAGATTTTAAATGCAGGCTGTCTGTAATAAGTTTTTTTTTTTTATCAGCTTCAGAATCTTTTTTTTTCCCATCTTTCTTTCTTTCTTTCTTTCTTTTTTGTTAATTTTGTAAGTGGATTTTATTGTGAAGGCTAATGGAGTGCTGCGATTTTTTTTAATGTCCCGAAAGCGAGTTTTATTTTTATTGCGTTCATAATGAAGATGTTATATAAGTTTAAAAAAATGCAGTTTAGAGCCACGATTCAAATTTTCCATAAACTTAATGGCACTTAATTACCTCACATTCGTTCCATAATGAATAACTGAATAAATGCATGAATGAATAAATGGGAATAAATAAGTAGGTGAATAAATTTATATATGAATAGATGATTAAATATATAAGACAAATAAATTAATAAGTAAATCAAATTATCAATTAGCTAATCACTCAATACATAAATAGGTAAATAAATGGATAAGTAAACAGATGAATAGAATTATCAATTACTTAATTATTCCACTATGTAAATAGATAAATGAATAGATAGGCAAACAAATAAAACAACAGACGAATACATAAATAAACAAAGAAACAACAACAAAGAATGAAAAACAAAATCAAAATACATAAATAGACAAAGAAACAAAAACAAAAAATGAAAATCAAATGAAAACAACAGACGAATACACAAACAAACAAAAGAAACAATAACAAAGAAGGAAAAACAAAATCAAAATACATAAATAAACAGAAGAAACAAAAAACAAAGAATGAAAATCAAATAAAAACAACAGACGAATACACAAACAAACAAAAGAAACGATACCAAAGGACGAAAAAAAAAAAAAAAAAATCTAATCGCCCCTGTTGCAGGCGACGCCGTTTACCTGGAGGGCGCGGCCGAGAAGCAGGAGTACGTCCTCAACGACTCGGGTCTCATCTGGAGAGGCACCACCAACTTCCACCGTCCGTGCGCCTGGAACTTCGCGCAGTTCGAGGAGGACATCCTGGAGTGCGTGCTCTACGTGCTGAGCTCCGTGTGCCGCATGTCCCCCTCCAACAGGGGCGACCCCATCAAGGTCACGAGGGCTATCTCCGCCGGGGTGAGGACCTTTCTTTGTCTTGACCTTCTCCGGGGACCTGTTAGGCGGCCGTTGTCTCCCTCATTAGCGAAGAGACGTTTAAGAAGGAGCTCTCGGGATTTTTGCTGCTCTTTGGAAGTCGTGGCGTTGCTGAGAAGGAGAGAGCATGACGTGTGTGTGTGTGTGTGTGTGCATGCACACATACATACCTCTTCTTTCTCTCTCTCTCTCTCTCTCTCTCTCTCTCTATCTCTCTATCTCCCTGTGGGGATGGATGTAATGGAGAGAGAGAGAGAGAGAGAGAGAGAGAGATAGAGAGAGAGAGAGAGAGAGAGAGAGAGAGAGAGAGAGAGAGACGCAAATACAGAGAAAGGTAGAGAGAAATAGACATAAGAAAATAATTGATAAAGGAGTATACGGTAATAAACAAAAACCATAAGATTAACCCGAATAAGAATTAAAAACAAACATATAACAACGATGGCAGCATATACTAACCCTAAACAAAGCAGGTTTCCTCTTTAAACACAAATGCAAATCCACGAGAGAGAACCTCCTCCGGCGGTAACCAGACCCCCTTCCCTCCTTCAGGTCAACTCCCCCGATGACTCCGGCGTGCTGGTGGGTAACTGGAGCAGCGACTACAGCGGGGGGACGCCTCCTACGAAGTGGGGCGGCTCCCAGCTCATCCTGCAGGAGTACTTCAAGACCAAGAAGCCCGTGAAGTTCGGCCAGTGCTGGGTCTTCTCCGGCGTCGTGACCTCCGCCTGCCGCGCCATCGGCATCCCCTGCCGCTCCATCACCAACTTCGCCTCCGCCCACGACACCCACAACTCCCTCACGATCGACCTGTTCTTCGACGACGAGGGCGAGGCTATCGAGCGCCTCAACGCCGACTCGGTCTGGAACTTCCACGTCTGGAACGAGGTGTGGATGACCCGACCTGACCTGGGCGCCGAGTACAAGGGGTGGCAGTGCATCGACGCGACGCCGCAGGAGGAGAGTGACGGTAGGTGGGCGAGGGGGGGCTGTGGGAAGGACAGGGGAGCCCGAGGGAGGTGGAGGAGACCCATGGGGGAAGGGTTAGAGGGGTCAGAGGAGGAGGGAGGGCAGGGGATGGAAGAAAAGAGCCATGGGGGAATAGTTAAAGGGGTCAGAGAAGGACGGTGGGTAGAGGGAGGTGGAGGAAACCCACGGGGGAATGGTCAGAGGGGTCAGAGGAAGAGGGTGGTAGAAGGAGGAGGAGACCCACGGGGGAATGGTTAGAGGGGTCAGAGGAGGAGGGAGGGCAGGGGGTGGAAGAAAAGACCCACGGGGGAAGGGTTAGAGGAACCAGAGGAGGAGGGTTCCCATGGGCGAATGGACAGAGGGGTCAGAGGAAGAGGGTGGGTTGAAGGATGGTGGTAGAGTAAGGAGGAGTGGAATGGCCCCCATGGAGAAGGGTTAGAGGGGTTTTAGAGGGGTCAGAGGAGGAGGGAGGCAGGGGTGGAAGAAAAATCCCACGGGGGAAGGGTTAAGATGTTACAATATTCTAGGTTATGTGTTATAACTCAAATTTTGATGCCGTGGCGAAATTATTCCATCCCATAAAATAGGGATCATGAATGTAAGCTAATAATTTACAAGTATTTTTTTTTCTAACTCAAGATGATTTATGAGTATGATTCCGGAATTAAGTGCAGCTTACCACCAATACATCATACCATTAATCCTTACTAGCATTCGGAAATTTACCTCCACCTCCACCTCTACGAATTCGAACAAACAACAATAAGAAAATAAACAAGTAAATAAAGAAAGAAAGAACAACAAAAAGAAAATAAACAAATAAATAAATAACAAAATGAAAATAAACAAATAAATAAATAACAAAATGAAAATAAACAAATAAATGAATAACAAAAAATGAAAATAAAACAAACAAACAAACAAACAACAAAAAATAAACAAACAAACAAATAACAACAACTTTCCTCCCCGCCCCCAGGCCAGTACCGCTGCGGGCCGGCCTCCCTGGCGGCCATCAAGAAGGGCGACATCAACAAACCGTACGACGTTCCTTTCGTGTTCGCCGAAGTCAACGCCGACAAGCTGTTCTGGAAGTACCGCGGCCCCTGCCAGCCCATGAAGCTGCTCGGACGCAAGACGGAGGGGTGAGGCGTCGCGTCTTTTGTTTTTGTTTTTGATTTTTATCACACACGCATACACACACATATATATGTTTGTGTGAGTGTGTGTGTGTGTGTGTGTGTATGTGTGTGTGTGTGTGTGTGTGTGTGTGTGTGTGTGTGTTGTGTGTGTGTGTGTGTGTGTGTGTGTGTGTGTTGTGTGTGTGTGTGTGTGTGTGTGTGTGTGTGTGTGTGTGTGTGTGTGTGTGTGTGTTGTGTTGTGTGTGTGTGCGTGTGTGTGTGTGTGTGTGTGTGTGTGTGTGTGTGTGTGTGTGTGTGTGTGTGTGTGTGTGTGTGTGTGTGTGTGTGTGTGTGTACATGTGTGTATAAGTATATACATATATATAAATATATATATCATATATATATATATATATATATATATATATATATATATATATATACACACATATGTATGTCGGTGTGTTTGTGTGTGCATAAACACAAACGCACAAACAAAAGCTGCACATGCACACATAAAGTTCACTCAGTATCTAGGCTCGGATGAATCATGGCTGCCGCCCGCACGGAAAACCCAGTGTTCCGAGAAATCCCGTTTAGTTTTACAAATCCATTTTATTTGCATAAGCTTTTCCTAGAGCATCATCTCTCTCGACTCGACTAAACAAAAATAACTTATCCAATAAAGATGTTGTCATTCAAAAAAAAATATATATATATTGTCATTCAGTGAATAAAATAAATTGTTTATTCTTATCTTCTTATGACAACTTCCATTCGAGATTCACCATATAATGATAAATAGTAACCCAACCGATAACTACCAATAACCATTTAATCAAATTTTATCCCACACGTTGATTTCTATCTTCTTATGACAACTTCCATTTAAGATTCACCATATAGTGCTAAATAGTAACTCAAAAATTACCGACAACCATTTAAT